AAAAACCATAGCAATCTTTGATTGGTTTTTTTTTTGAAGACCCGATATTATATTTACCTATGGTTAAAAAAATATAATAACATTTTAAAAAATCAGTGCATAAATGATAAAATGACGACGAATCAAATTGTTTTTTTCTTAGACTCCTGCTTGCATAACGTTGCATTATATGGTACCTCGGTACGTGAATGTTACCGTTTCGGATATGAGGTTCGGGAACCATTCTGTCTCTAGCTCTTCCGAACAATTTTTATGTAAAATAACACAAACAATAATAAAGCGCCCAACTTTTTCTGGGTGATGCCGACTCATGCCTCAAAATTTTTGAAATACATACAAATCTTTGTTTAAACACACCAATACAATTTCGAAATTGGATGTGATTTTGGCTATAAATGAACTCTCGAGTTCCTGGAGCAGCGTTTTCTCTAGGTGTCGTCATGTGGTCTAAAAATTTCACTTACTGTGGGTTCCATTGACCTAGGGTTGCCACCTGTCCGGTTTTTTAAAGGTTTGTCCGGTGTCCGGACGCATGATGAAAATGTCGGGGAATATCTGGATAACTGTATAATTAATAATAATTAATACTAAATATAAAATTTATAAAGACGATTTCCGATCGCCTTAGGATATACCTAACTAATTTCTGAACGTACCTACTTCTTGAATGACGGGTGTGTCACGAACGTCTCCGATTTCCAGTTAGCGACAGAAAAGTGGACTTTTTCTGCCTATAGGCTAATGATTCAACAAACGTTATCAGCGCAATTGATAAGTATAAAAAAGTGGATTATGCGTGAAATTGTAACGAATTCGGAGAAAAAATAATATGCTTCACACGGCAAAAGATCATATTAATGCGCCTTGGCTGGTTTCCTAGCTTCGCCTTCGGCTATGGAACACCAGCCGCGGCATTAAATATTGTACTTTTCTGCCTAGTGAAACAATAATTATTTTTCTCCGAATGACAGTAAAAGCGGCCTTTTAATGACACTTGACAGGATCAAAAGTTGTATTTTTACTGCCTAAGCATTAAAAGTGACAGTGTCACAACGTTCCAGGTAATAATTTCCCTCAATTTGGTATTTGAAATTGATGGTGACAATGACAATTATTGTCAAAATAATTTAATTATTTGTATAATAAATAATGAATGAAATAAATATAAAAAAGATGTCCATGTGTGAATTTGAATATTCGGAGAAAAAATTATATGTTTTACATGGCAGAAAAGCAGATTTAATGCCTCGGCTGGTTTCCTAGCCTCGGCTATGAAACACCAGCCGCGGCATTAAATCTTGTACTTTTCTGCCTAGTGAAACAAATAATTATGTATGTATTGTGTCGTTCTGCCTGTTCACTTACAAGTGTCTATTATTTTATTTTTTTTAATATCAAAAGGTGGCAACCCTACATTGACCGCTCCTATCACACCTGGGAAATTAAGTATTTTCCATAAATCCTGCTGCAATTAGATTTTTCTCGTCTTGAGTCACAGAAAACTGAACCCTGATGGCAATTGATATTTTCTCTATTGCTCTGCTCTTGACATAGTTTGTTGAGCCATATAAATATTAAAGCTTTGCCCAGTTAGCTCTTCAAATCTAACATCTAACATCTTCTTTTTGAATACAGTCACTATCTACTATAGAACGCGAGCTGTAGAATTCTATAGAGCACAGAATCCCAGAGCAGACCTGACTGACCATTATCCAATTAGGCTCAATATAAGATTATGTAACTCTGGATGTGCCGAACTGAGACAGGAAACCATTGAACACACAGACACGGACTGTTACAATTGACTACTGTGCCCTTATAATCTCTTTTGCAGCACAAAATTGGCTGCCTGTATTGAGCTGTATAACTGCTGAAGAAGCAATTGATGTATCCTATATAATTTTCCAAGATTTTTTTCAAAAAGCAGTCAATTAAAATCAGTGTTAATAAATAAAGAAAAATTAAACCCTGGATCACGTTTGGCATGATAAATTCTATAAAACAGAGAGATAAACTAAAGAAGAAAGTTTTACACTCACAAAATGAATACACCTTAAAACTCAATATAGATACTACAGAAATCAATTAAATAAGCTAATTACTAAATTCAAATTTGACTATTACAGAAATCAAATAAATGAAAGTCAAAATAATATCGAACAAATTTATAAAATTATTTGCAGTACCACAAATTTGACCATGAAAACCGAGCTTTTGAGACTGACATGGACATGGCCAATTTTTTTTAACCATTATTTTGTATCAATAGGAAAAAGTATGGATGAGAAAGTGCTGCCGCGATGAAGCCATATTATAATGTTAATGAAACACATCCTTCTCTTTTTTTGACTACTGTAAATAATAATGAATTGATAAGACATATCAGCTCACTTAAAAATACTGCCGCTCCTGGTGTGGATGGTATACACGTATTTTCAACCAGTGTCGTTCCTGAAAAATTTAAAATTGCTATTGTAACACTCATCCACGAGGCTGGATATAAGAATAATATAAGTAACTATCGACCAATAAGCAATAAGTGTCATCAATAACTTTGGCAAGATATTTGAAAAATGCCTCCAAGGAGGGATTGATTTTTTTGTAAAGAATGAAATTTTATCCAAGAGACAGTTTGGCTTATAAGAGAAGGTCTCAGTGATCTTCTTGACAACATGATTGGTGTTCCTCAAGGAACCGTGCTCGGCTCCTTATTATTTATTGCGTATACCAATTCTATGGTAATGCTTGATGTTGGTGGCTCCATCATTTCTTATGCGGACGATATTGTCTTGGTATTTTCGGCTGGAGACTGGCACTCTGTTAGAAATAGGATGGCTGATGGTTTGTCCATCGTCAAAAACTGGCTAGATTATCATAAACTCACTATAAACTTGAACAAAACTCACTACACCTTTTCCATAAGTATTTCAGAATGTATCACTTGTATTTCAGATTCATCAATTCTAATTCAGAATGCGTCAATTGTATTTCAGTTGTGTAAGTTCAATTTCAAAAAGTGTTATTTGTATTTCAACTTTGTCAGTTGTAGTTCAGAAAACATCATTTGTGTTTCAGATTCGTCAGGTGTATTTCAGAAAAAGTCATTTGTATTTCAGTTTGGTCACTTGTATTTCAGAAATCGTCATTTGTGTTTCAGATTATTTATTTGTAGATCAGAAATTGTAAATTGTATTTCAGAATTCGTCAAATGTATTTCAGATATTATCAATGTAGTGTATTAAATAAAATTTATAAATCTGCGTAGATACCTACTAATTTCCGAACTACATCTGACAATTTCTGAAATACAATTCACGTTTTCTGAACTACAATCAACTAATCTGAAATACAATTGATGCTTTCTGATATACAATTATCTAATCTGAAATACAATTGACACTTTCTGAAATAAAATAAACTAATCTGAAATACAATTGACGCTTTCCGAAATACAATTTACTAATCTGAATTTCAATTGACGCATTCTGAAATTAAACTTACGATCTCTGAAATACATATGGAAAAGGTGTAGATAGCATTTTCTCTAACGAGTGTAAATTGATAATCTAAACACATCTATTAAAGAGGTTTCTAATATAAAATACTTAGGGATAATTGTTGACTATTACCTTAAATGGGAACACCATATTTTTAGACTGAAGAATAATCTAATGAAGCTTATTTATAAATTTTACACATTTCATGAGATTATGTCTAGGCAGCTATAGTCCGACAAATACCATTTTAAAGTCACGTGATACTGGTGGCAAAAAACGTATGTCCATTGATTATGTCGTTGATATCACCTACAAAAAGCTACTGGTGTTTAATTACTATTGAATTTTAATATATGTTCCCACTAGCATTTTACAAACGCGTTTCTGAAGTAGTATTGACCAATCAGAAGGCAATTTTAATACTTGCAATTGTTGCGAGACTCACTTTTGTCGCATCTGCTGTCTGTTGTAATACATTCTGAACTTAAAATAGGTACCCGTTTTCTATTTGCTTCTTTTCGAGTTGGAAAAAGGTTAATATAGTCAAAATTATTAGCTGTGTTTGTTCGTTGTATCATTTTCGAAAATAACTTTGACAAACTAATTGATGACAATGACGGATTCAATTTCAGGTAAGAATATTATGAACAATAATTAGACAGCAATTTTTTTGTCAATTTTACTATCACCGCTGTTTGAGATGTATTCAACAAGGATAGAGAAAAATCACGTGACTTTAAAATGGTATTTGTTGGACTATACTTACGATGATTTATAAGGCATTGGTCGAGTCATGGATTAGATATGGTATTGTGGTATGGGGTGGACTTTATAGTTCCGCCATCTTACAGCTCAATGTAACGCAAAATTATGTTCTAAAAGTTATACATGGAAAAGAAATACGTTATTCAACAAATCTTCGGTACAACGAAAACATATTTAATGTTAGATCCCTGTATGTTCTTTCTGCATCCTCTTATATCCACAAGGTAGAGAGCCTTAATAAGTATGTAAGCCATTGGCATGCGACTAGAAGTATAGCAATAATTTTTAGTGCACAATTCTGCTCACTGTATGTACATACAGCTGTTAACTCAGCTAGGAGCTTTTGCAGTGTTCGACAATGTTATTATTTGTTGATGAGTATTTACTGTATATTGTCCATTTATTATAATTTATCAATAAATAAAATAAAATAAAATAAAAAATAAAATAAAATAAAATAAAATAAAATAAATTTATTGACATTATTATTATTATAACATACAAATTTGTCAACCTCATATTCTTCTATAATGATTTAGATGGCTATGGTTAGTTCTCCAAAGTAAAGGACTTTTGGTTTTACCAGAATCATTTTTATTTTCACTATATCTGCGTGACATACTTACAAAATTTATAATGCAATCAAAACTAAATCCAAACTAGTTTGGGGTCAGTTTAGTATTCAAAGTTTATAAATATGATTAGTAGAAGTGAATTATGTCTAAATTCTTTTCTTAGGTGCATGGACTCGGAACCAGAATTCAGCTCTGAGCACCATGATGCGCTTACACAACAACCTGTGGCATCAACACCAAAGTTCAAACCTTGGAGTTGTTGCATGTGCAAAGCGAAATATCACACTAAGGATGAGATACTAAATCACATAGTCAAGAAACACAACATTGATGCGCAATACAAATGCACTTTGTGTGCCTTCAAGGATGATCAAGAAATTGTTTGTAGGGAGCATTTTAAGGAGAAACATCCTGAAAATTCGTTTGATATTATTCTGGTTTACAGAGAGGTAAGATTGTTTCAACATTGTTTTCAATATGTTGTCTATAAAATATTATTTTAGACTGAAGAAGAATCCTTGGAAGACACTAGCATAACTCCATTCGATACTACTCCCCTGTGGCAACGTGATAAACCGAGAGTACGTCACATCAGAGGAATACTTTTTGATGAGTCCTTGCCACCACCAACAAAATCGCCCAAAAAGAAAGTTTTGATGAAACAAAATCCTACATGGAAAAATTCTGTTGCATCTACCAGTTCTACAAAAAATACGCCCAGTCCCGTGCCGGGTGGGCGTTCCATTGTCGCTAGAAATATTTTTGATTGCATTGATGTAGTTGCCAGAGGTAGGTTATTGATAATCCATCCAGCGGTTTTCAATTATTCCTCTATTTGGCAGTATGTACCCCATTATACAGGGTGACACTTTGAAAACTTACAATAGCTATATCTGAAGAACCAAAATCAATATAAAAAAATCACTGAAAAAAATTTCTATAATAGGGAGGGGAAATCTTACCCCTTCACCCCCAGCCACCTCAACTAAATAATTTTAAATGGCAACCCCCTACTTGTGGTACCTTATTTGAAAGCTCTTGAAAAATGCTTTTCAATGGTACCCTACTAACATTTGGAAAGTTTGAAGGTAGACTCTATTAACTAAAAAGTATTTTACAGTTCACTACAAAATTTTATTAGTGACCTAATCACGTATAATGACTTATTATTTACGTATTTGTTTAGATTGTCTGTCTGTAATTATATATTTTTTTTGTTTTATTTAGGTACTGATGAAACTCTTGAAGGAGAATGCTCCACTAAAGTGGATCAAAACAAACCAGGACCCAGTGGTATCTCTATGGCCAAAACTATTTCTGCATCATTTGCACGTGATAACGCTTCCACATCAAAAGATTTGTCTGCGGTTTCTGCTGAAAACACTCGAAACAGGCCAGGAGGGCATTTAAAAACCAGAACACCTCCAATCACACTTGTAGCAAAAGATAGATCTTTACAAAAGCCTGGCATTTCATCTGAAGTTTCTAGCCAACCAGTAATTCTTAATAAGTTTTTCTCAAATCCTTCCAATCCAGATGATAAGTTAAAACTGAATATGTCATTGGATACAATTATTAGCAATGCACTGGAAAAAAATAGTACCATTAGTGCACCTAATCAGGATGCCAGAATTGACTCGGATGAATCTGATGATGTTGTTTTAATTTCACCGCCAATCCCAAACATTACAGGTAATTTACAATTTTTTTTGTACCACGAAATATAAAGTTTTCCCTAGTAGAACATACGCTTCAGGCTATGTTTTTTGCATCTATTTCAGAAGATCATTTTCAAAATTAGATAGCATTTTAAGTTAGGTATGAGATGGAGGAAATCTGGAAATTGATAATGTTTTACCAATATGTAATAGGCAATTCAGTATTTTTTTTCCTTTGCGATTGATTAGCAGTGAAATACCGGCGAAATATGCGACTTACTGAGACAAATTTGAATTCCACATTTCAAATAAACCCCCCTGGTACATTCTTGGGATGGCCATAACAACCTACATTCCTCAACGAATGCTGAAAACAAAAATTTTCCAATGCGAGATTGAAAATATGAACGAACGGATCAACCAAACTCTTCCTACATTCCTTAAAGATGCATGATGGTATACCATTTGACTCTGTTGATTTCTTAGACTTAAGGCAAATTATCCTACCTATAACAATATCCCTGGTTATTGGGGAAAATTAAAAATTACCCCAGTCATAGCTAGCTTTCTCAGCATAACAGTCCTTGTCCAGCATCATAAACAGAGAAGAAGTATTTGACAAAAGCATTGGCAATTTCTTGCGGGTCTACAAAGCGTTTTCCATCTAATTTCATGTTAGTTAGTATACCACTACTCTGAGATTTGCTTTTAATAGAAGACCAAAAGGTTTAAGGATCATTTTTAAAATTCATTTCTAAGGATTTAATGTGATATGAATAGTGTAATGCAACAATAATTTTTTTGCAGTAATTGACTCTGACGAAAGTGATGAAGAACAGGAGAGTAAACCTTTAGAATTTATTGAAGATTCATATTTGGATGTTATCTCGAGTACCAGCAGAGGCCAAAAACGTCCCGGAGCCACTGATTTGTTGCAAGAAGCAGTTAAGATGGCAAAGATCGACGAGACTGATGATGCCTCTCTTGTAAGTAAAAAGTTTGATTTGATGAAACAAGCCAACTTAAACTAATTCTGTTTTGCTCTAAGCAGATTAGACATATTGAATGTAAATCTAAATTTGTCTATACTAGCTTGTATGTATAGCATTTTTTGTTTGTTAGTTAAACAAATTTACTAAAAATTGCCTTTCACACTTTCAGGCAAACAGATGTAGCAGAGAAAACTTGGTATACATGTTTGGCGCTATCGGTAAACCCAACAATAAGCAACTGAAATGCCCGAGATGTAGCACGTTCAGATCGAAAAAAGCTGCAGACTTTATATTTCATCTGTATCAAGAGTTCAACTTCCATAGGTAATATTGTAATTCTTCATATAAAGTAGTTTTTTTTTTTACTATCCAGACATTTAAATTTCTAGATATAAATGCAAGGGCTGTAACTACTCAAGTGTAACTTACAAATTTATGTTGGATCATATTCAAATGCACCATCCAGACGCCACTGAAAACTTGAGTCAGCCTCTACCTGCTTATGTCGAATTGGATACGTGGATTCAGATGGTGATCAGAGAGCAAAGTAAAGAGATTCTAGAACTGTCCCATGAACTGTTCCAGAAGCGACCTGTTCCTGGTAACTTCTATAATAGATGTTACTTTTGCAATGACACGTAAGTAATTCAAGTTACTATGGATTAAAACCTCAAAAAAAATGCATTTAATATAAGGTGCAAAATTTAACGAGTCCCTCTACTCAAAGGTTCTTTTTTTCAAAAACCAATATGCGAAAATTTAAAAAAATATTCTTGAGGCAATTAAGTAATAAACAAACCAATTGCGAGGTTTCAAATTATGTCGATCTGATTTAGATGTCAACTTTTTCGAAGTTATGGTTTCCAATTTTCTGAGTTGTTTTGTCAGCATCAAGTCAATGATCGAATCACATGTTAAAGTTGAATGCGTGGGATTTGTTGACAATGTTTTTCAAATCCAAGTCTACCAAAATATTTGCCAACCTATCACTATCTTTATCCTGTATTTGAGTAGTCCAGTCAATATTAAAACTGTTTTTTTTTTCTGTTGGACCCGTTCTATAAAATTTAAACCTATCTCACTAAAGTCTTTTGTAACCTTTATCTTCTATCATGATTTCATTTTGATCATGTTCCACCTGTGATCTTCCGAATACCTTTTTGTTATTTGCTACCTGTGTTGTGCTAATATCCACAGAATCCATTTCCCTTAGCTTATTACTTCTTATACATAGTTTTTTAGTGGTTTCATCCTCAAGTCCCACTGCTTCTACATCACTGTGGGAAGCCTTTCTCTTACTCACTAACAGGAAAGCTCTACAGTTGACCATTTAGAATCGCCGTCTGAATTCTATCATTTCTGTTTGGAAGGAGTTTAGACCAATATAATTCGTTTTCTAATGTGAAAGATATATCTATATATAGAACACAAGTTTTAGATTTTACATTACTTATCTCATATTTAATAGATAGAATTACCTTATTATTATTTCTATGTATTCTCAATTCAAATTGCTGATGAGTTGGTCTCACTGGAACAGTACACAAGATGTCTTTGGTATGTTTTGTTTATCACCTTTAACACATCACACATTCGCAAACTGAGAAACACCATTTTATGCCAGCTAGAAGTATCAAGAAATCATTATCTCCAAAATCTGCAGTGATCTGATTTTAAGTAACTTGAGCAAAGTTCGCTTGATATTTGCTAATAATCCCTAAACCTTTTTAAAATGTCCAACAGATTATCGGACAGCCTGTAGCTAAAGTTATCAGTAAGCATAAGTTCTTCCTCCTCTATGCGTTGCTTCGCTGTCACCCCAATGAGGATTTACAGGCTTGTTGTTTTCTATGTCACTAATCAATTCCAATGCAGATTTGTGCTTGCCTTACCTTCAAACCAGCCTTTATGTTCTCACACTTACACTCTGTTCTCTCAGTTTTGCTATCAACCGCAGTTACTATTTGATTTAAGTATTCAGAGGTTACCATTTCTAAGACTGTTATTCAAATTCTTTAGCTTCACTATTTCCCCTTCAAATTTTTGCTTCATTTTATCATGTCTGGATTCTATAATGTATGATTTTTTGTTCATTAACTATATTTTCGTTTCCATCATTTACTACTTTAATACTGTTATTCCTATCTCTTATCTCTTGAGAGATTTTTGCTTTTTTTTCTACTAAATCACGTATTCTCTGTTCAAGAGTCTCATTCTCAGCATCCAATAGTAGCAGTTTCAGGTTATTTTTAGTGATCATCAACCTCTTTTGATAAAGACCTAATGGTCCAATTATCTCTTGTTCCCACAATTTCTTACCAAGGGTTTGTACTGGAGTAAAATCACAATGAAATTATGACTTTGAGTGATTCCGAGGTATAACCAGATGAAACCTATACCATCTTATAGAGGACACTTTGGGGCATAGGAAATGGGAATGTACAACTTTTTTTAATAGGACTGAACTTTGAAATCGGCCCTTAAACGTGACTGAGCTCGAATTTGAAAAACTACATTTTTCTAAACATTACCAGCTGTATTAATTTAAGCATACAATCTAAAATTCTGATTTTTTGCACACTTATACTTGAAACATAAGCGCTTCTAATGACATTTCTGGAATTTCGAAAAAGTTCAAGGTTTTTTTGTTAAAAAGTTAGGAATATATAATTATCAAAATCGTGCATCTAAAACTTCACCCTGCGGCGAGCGATGAGTATAAAATTAAGGCGCTAACTTCAACGGTTATAGAAATATAAATTTTTTATCCAGGAGCCTTGAAATGTGCTCTGATGCTGAAAGCGGTTAGCGGCTACCATTCTGGAAATCATCTGCGTTAGTGCGTTAGCGTTACATCTAGAAATAAAATTAAAAAATCTATAAATATTAAGTAAGTGATTGAATCGTTTTTTATGAAGTTTACTTTAAATATTTTCTTCTTCGTCATTCTCATGTAAATCAGGAACATTATTTTGACAACTTTTGCAGAAAGCATCGCTGCAGCATGTTAAATCCTGTTTCAAGCAGACACATTTATTATTTTGACATAATTTATCTTCGCAGAAGATGTTCATTAGTTGCCTTATATTCGTTGGTATGGGATCAGCAGTCAGCAAAACAGGCTCAAGATTTCCATTATTCCTAGTCCAACCAATTAACAGGGTCAAGTATAGGCATAATAGGTATATAACTGGACATCCATATACGCACCTGAAATTTTGGTTATCACATAAATACAACTTCTTTTGTTATATAAGTACACCTAGCTCAGTACATGCTGGTGAAAAATGCATCATCTGTGGGTGGAAGTTCTGAAGCGGACTTATTGGAAGTTGTCATCAATTGATACCTCAATTCATCGAGGGTTTTAATGACCTCGTTCTTATTTCTGGATAGGGCCAATGCAAATTTGGTTTTTACCGGTAGTTTTGATGACGTCATCAATATGACGCACTTGTACTTCGACGATTTCGGGAAACGGTGTAAAATTAAGTTGATTGTCCTTAATTTGGTTTTTGATTTTTTGGAGGTCATCTAGATGAACACTCAAGTTAAGTGTTGGCAGTAGTAGTTCTTCTTGATTATTGAAATCAGGAAATAATATAGGCTGGGTTTTTGTTTGGCCTACGTGTGCGTTGTTTATAATCACTTCTTGATTACTGTGATTAGTTAGTTTGCAATTTTTTGGGATTTCGGCAAAATATGTACCAAATAATTTTTGGTATTATTCTTGGTCGCTACATTCCATTTTGACTGGTTCTTTTTTGGGAATAATTATGATCCATTTATTTGAGAGGTCCAATTGATTGACTATTGGGATCGAAATCTTAACTTCGATTTGTTGACATGATTGGACTTGGTTACTTGATTCCAATAATTGGATTGCACATGGATTTTTGGTTGTGATTTCTGTGAGATCCATTTTGTCACAGATATAGTACTGGTTCTGGATTTCCTGGCACTCCGTAGATCGATATGAGAAGTGCAATTTGTTTTTTACCAAGAATTTACTTTTTGGAATGATTGTTTTGAATTTTTCTTCATCATTAAGATGATCAACGCGAATTTTTGATAAATCTAGTCTTTGTTTGGGTGATTCGTCAAAATTATGTCAATGTCACAAGCTTGAACGTTCCTTTTAAAAGTGCGTTAAGCACTCGAGTCGCTCATAGTGGATCCCCCTTTCCCCTGATGCACCAAAGGACACACACACACACATCTTATGGGTTTTCGGGGACCGGTCGATTTTTTTAAAAATTTGGTATGTTGTAATACTAGTGAAAATAAATATTTTTCATCATTGCGCAAAATCTCTAACTATACAGGGTGACTCAGTAAAGTAGGTTCGAAAATCATAAACCAAGCCTTTCTATTATCGGTATTAGCGCACCCTACAAACTAAATATCGAGATTTTTGTTTTCGATTTCGCAAATAAATAGTCAGATAAGCCTAATATACTATACAGGGGCTGAGCTTGCGTATTTTTTTAGAAATCCTGCCCTATTTTTAGAAATAGTGTTACCAAAAAGGTTGCGCTGGATTTTATTTAGCTGTAACTTTTTTAATTTTTGTCCGATTTAAAAAAATGTGGTATCAAAATAAAGCCTATATCACAGGGATGTCATGAAATCTAAAAAAATTAAAAATGTGATAAAATTCGAGATGGTTGAACGTGATAAAAGTATAACTTTTCATTCGATTAGGGTCTTGGATACACCAAATACACCTCAATTTAGGGGCGGTTCCTCAATTGCGAGTAACTCTAGGGGTTAACTAACCCGGAGTTAATTTCAACCTTGCAGGTTAACTGAGGATTGTGTTTCTCAAGCATCCACTGTAGGTGGAGTTAATAAACACTGGGTTAAGCAATAGTTGGTAGCATTATTGTTTACCAGAATGGTGATCCTAACATATTTTTGATTGGTCGAAAGCAGTCACTCATGGGTCGATCGTCAAATTAGCCCATTCACAAAACTTTTTGGAGTTTGTTGTTAAATTAATGATAAGTTCGAGTATTCTTTTAGGCGCACCGTTTTTTCATTACAATTTGTTAATTTTTGAATAGCGTGGTTAATGCAGTGTGTGTAGTCAATAGTCATGGAGAAGAAAGATATCGCAAGAGGAAAAAACTTCCTTGAATTAGAAAAAATAATAATAATCAAGCTATAGTATAAGCGAAATATAGGGTGCACGAGGTCAGACATGAACTTCTAATACTTTGTAGAGAAATCCTAGTCATCGTATTTCTCGAGAGGATTATTCCTTTGGCGGATTATATGAGGCGTTTTTCCTACGAAATTGTAGAAATCTTCATCTTCATCAATCAATCCATATATTTCTATTTTGAAAAAAAAAATAATACCACAAAATTGACAAGTCACGATCACGAATCATCAGGTTATCTCAAAGGGTAAATCCATAAATCCATAAATCGCTAAACCCGCAATATCATCAACAGTGAGCCAATTTAACCCAAGGTTACACCAAAAGTTATAGCTAACTCGCTGTGGAGAAACGTTTACCCTGGAGTTATAATCAACCCGGAAATGACTCGCTATTGATAAACCGGCCCTAATATAAGTAACGTATTTGATGGATACTTCACATTGTTCTCATGTCGAGCGTAGCTAAAGTACC